CTGTAAAACTTTTTCTCTCCAAAGTAACATACAGAGTTAGCAGGTCAGTTTACTTGGAGAGCAGCAGTTAATTAGATCAGACACAAAATCGAGATATATAAAATTCAGTTTTATAAAAAATGGGGCAAATAGATTTCAAAACTTGACATCAGTGATGTCACAACAGTTTTGACTCTCGGGGAAAGAAATCCAAGGTTGTTTCTTTAAACATGTATTTCAACAACCCACAAGTAATGGGCTAAGAACATGGATGGATCTGTGCAGAAACAGAAAATAAATCTGAACATGCAAGGCTTATTCTCCAGTCAGAGCGAAATCAAAGAGAACACAAGAAAGGTACAATGAGAAGCAGATTAGTTGACGCACACTTTTCAGCTGTTCTAGCAAAGGTCTGTTTCAATAACAGAGAAGAGAAAAAAAAATAGGATGATCTCTATCTTCAGTGCAACTTGCATAATGCTCTTGCAAAAGAAAAGCTAGAAAACTAAGAAATGAAAGAAAAAGTAGTTCTTCTGACATGACAGAAAGCAAAAGTGAAAGATACGCTGTGTCAGTCCAGTTTGGTCCTTTGCATGAGTTATAGAATTTGAGGCAAGATTCTCACATGGGATAAAATGACGTGACTCCACTGGCTGTAGTGTAACTCACCAGTTTACAAATGCTGAGGACCCAGTCCCATTCTGTTTGCCACAATGAAACTCTTCTAAGGAATGGAGAACGCAAATACAGAAAAAGGTGTTTCAATGGTGGGTACAAGCATAGGATTCAAAACATCTGAGAGAAGATTCAGCTTTGGCACAGGGTTCCTACATGAACTTGGGCACATCTTCTCTGGGCTCAGTCCCTCACAGATAGAACAGTGATCCCTAAGGGATGCTGTAAGGATATGTGTTCTAAAGAGTGAGGCACTGGGGTCATACAGATATTTGATAGAGACCCCAGGAAAAGATAAAGAACGCTAAACATTGTCAAGATGGTGAGCAGTGTTGTTAAGTGGGTGTGTACAAGCCATCCCTTATGCAGGGATGTGCCATCTTGATATTCTTTGTTTACTGAAAGGAAAAGGAGCACTGGATGCAGGTAGCTTATCCTCCAGGAAGCCAGCAATGAAAAACAAGCAGCTTATCTCGTCCTGCAAACCCCCCTGCTTCCCTTCCCTTCAGCAGCAGAGAGCACGATAAAAGCTGAGACGAGTCTCTGTAGGAACTCAAAGCTGTGAATCTTCCTCTCACCCTGTCTGGCCAAAATCCCTTCATTCGCAGGGGGAATTTAGGCCAGATATCACCAGTTCTAGCTCTCCGCCAGAATAACAGAGGAGAGGGTTAGAAAGGAAGAAAAACAGCTATAACTCAGCAAGTACAGTCAGAAAGAGAGGAGTAGGAGATGCACAAAATGCGTAGTCCTCTGCTATGTTTCCAGCTATATCCCCACTCTGCTGACCCTTTCAGATTTCCCCCACCATGACATTGGGTGGTATTTTTTTTATCCCTTTAAAACAAGGATATTGTTTGCCATTTAGAAGAAAAAAGGAGTCTGGGACAGGAATAGCTTTCTGCTGCTTTGGAAAGGGGTTGCAAACTCATTCCACCCCCCATTCGATTACAGGTCGGTATTCCAGCCTTAGGAATAAGACACTGACAGACACCTTGGGGTTCCCTGATACAGCCTTACTGGAGGGACACCCCCCCTCAGTAAGACACAGACAAGCCAGTACAGCACTGCTCCACAGCTTGCTGGCTTGCTTGCACTAGCAGGACTTGGGATAGGAAGGGGCACGTTCTCCATTATGAATATGAAAGAATTAAGGAATGGAGAAAATCAGAAGTGAGAACAAAAAAGGTGCAGCTGAAGTTTGAGGTGGTTAAAATGAAAAATGGGACTGTGCCATTCACAGGTGGATAGATAGATCAATCAATTGATCTCATCTACACTGACACACCTTGGAGCTATAATTCACTGCTGGGGCAATTATTCCAGCATAGCACTGGCAGGAGTTATATCGGAGACAGAAGTCAGGTGCTTTTAGTCAGGGGAGAGTTAGACAACAAAGGAGTAAAAATTGGTAAATGCCATCCACCAGTAAGGACACATGGGATATAAGTTATGTCTTTGCAGTTGCAGAGCATAGAGGGAAAGACAGATAAATAGACACATAAAAGTCTGAGTTTTGGTTGTGCAGTCATTCGCTGTCTGACCTTATCCTCGCCTCCTCTCGACTACTCTCAGAGAGAAGAGTGTTTAGCATTATTGTGTCCCAGGCTCTTCGCCATGTTACTGTTGACTTCTTTATCCCCTCGCACTGAGTAAGTGGTGCTGCCTCTGGACAGTGCAAGGAATTTTTCTTCATAAGCCTTGATGTGTTCAAGAGAGGGCTGGGCTCATCTCTGCTGTGAGTCTGACAGGGGCTTTAACAACCTCACAACACCGGGACAAATAGCTCCTGGTCCTTTAACCCTTCTCAGCTTTGCAAGGCAAGGCCTAGCACTGTTGTTACCATTGCAAGGGCTTTAGATGGTCTTTCAGGCTGAAATCCTCTCCGTGGTGGCTGGGCAGAGTGAAAATCCAGGGGCTGGATCAGATTGGCCTAATGCTACAGCAGCTTAAGCGGTCTGTTTTACCAGAGATTATGGTTTCACTTACACAGAGCGCCTGAAAAATGCTGCGGTTTAGGAAGGATTATAGCTGAAAATTCCATGCTTTAAAAGAGAAATAAAGCAGGGGAGGGACTAGGAAACCCAATGTGCCTGGGGGCTGTGCAAACAGGATTAACCTCTGCCCATAGCACCTCTTGCTTCTGCCCACCCACGCTTCCCCTGTACATCTTCTTCTCTGCCCTTTCCTCCCCAGCAGCTCCCCACACCTGCGCTCTCTTGCACAATACGGAGAGCTGAAAAAGGAGCCTGGAAAATGCTCAGGACCAAAATGTCCCTAGATTATTTAGGTATGACTGTCAAATGGCTTCCTTGAAAAATATCACTTCACTTGCAGACCCTGAAAGCCAGGGGAACTTTTGGCCCTCTGCCTGCAGACAGATCTATTCATCCAAATTATCTAGTATCAACATTATTTGAATAAAGGCTTCAGCACTCCCACAGTGCTGGTGGTGACTGCCTGTCTGGCCCGAAGGTAAATCTGTACACTCCTTGCCATCTGATGACAGAGGATGCAGGAGAAAAATAGCTTTGGGGGTTGTCCATCTACAGAGACACGCACTGGCACGTGAAGCCTCACTGGTAGGATTGCAGGATAGTATGTAGTTGTAAAAAGCAGAAGCTGGGTGCTGATGTGCTGCCTACTCTGCTGACTTTAATTAACTGTGCAACAAGAACCCGATACTCGAGCTTCTATTCCCTATACCCTCCACAAAAGGTCCTTGCCAAACAGAGCTTCCTATAGCAAAAAGGGAGAAGAAATTACAATCCTCACTTAACATACCAGAGACTTCACGTAAGTAAACTAAATAAAGATGAACTGTACATCTTTTGGACAGGACTGATCCTTCCCAATCAACTGAACCATGAACATATGTCTTTGCCGCACTGGAGTCTCAGTGATCAGAGACCTTTGCTGGCCATCCAGGTTAGAGGTACTTGGAGGAGAACACAGATGGCAAACTATCATTTTGCCAGGTAGCAAACCTTTAGGAAACAAATGCCTCAGGATAAACAGCATTCACAGATAGAAACTGCCCAGCCCTTTATTGTTTAGGTGAGCATTGCAGCCTCGCAATAAGGTGCCTAGCGTTAATTAAGCCAGTTCTACATTAATGAAGTCAGATTTATGGCCTAATTATATGTCACGTTTATATTTCTCTGTATAAATCAAAACCACCAGAACTAACTTATTTCATAGGCCATTGGCAACACTTGCCATCACGGCAGAGAGATGGCTTTCATTTATTGGCTTTAATTTGTGTACCTGAGGGTGGATGGTTTGCTAGATGATTTGGATTGGATCTGATCACATCATCCATACTTCACTTTCAGGTGTTCAAGTACAGCACTCTATTACTGCTGACCCAACAACAGTGGGTGTTCTGGAGTAACCATGCTTCAGGTCACAGAGTTCTCCAACTCCCAAACCTCTTACTTGGCAGCCAAGTTAGGAGCAGTTGCAAAGCTGTATCTATTGTGCCTATGCAAATCTGCACATCAGAAATGGAGGTACAATGCAAACAACAATAAGAATGAGACTTTTCATAAATCCCCCACATTTCCTGTACTCCATTATAGCTCTCTGTTAAGGGAGTCAGTACTGACTGCTTTTATGGTTAAAGCTGCAAGTGTGCCACTGTGAACAAGACCAATTGATTGATCTATCTGTCTATCCACCTATTAATTGCACAGTGCCATTTTTATTTTAACCACCTCAAACTTCAGCTATACCTTTTTTGTCAAAGCTTTTACAGAGTTTGGCTTGAGAAGCTTTGGCCATTCCACCGAGCATCCTGTTTAATAGATGCTCGTAACAGCACTGCTCTCCTGGGGAAGATTACCTTGGGTTTGAAGAGACAAAGTGGTATAATTCCCTGGGCCAAACTGCGTAAGCATAGCATCTTCGTGCGCCCTTGGCCAGCAAGAGAAAGCAGCAGGAAAGGGAGCACAGAAGCTTCAGAGCATTCTTCTCCTTCCCAACCCTATGCTTCTACCTGTCCTCCCTCTCCTGCATGTTCCCTCCCTCACCTCTCCTTTTCCTGCATCCCACTCCTCCCATCTGCCACTGCACTCCATTCTCCTCACCTCCTGCTGCCCCTGCAGAGGCATCCCTGCAGTCAGAGCCTAGCCCCCGGGTGCATTTACTGCTGTTGTCTCAGCATTGGCTCCTCTGATCTACTCCTAACCTTTTTATTTTTATTTTTGTTTTTAAATTAATTTCCCTGTAGATTTTAACCACTCCATTTTCATTTACCCATTTTGTTCTTCCTCTCCTCCCTTCCCCACCCTCCTCTTCCTCCCCCTGTTCCCTTTGTCTGTCTGTGTCCATCCCTTACCCTACCACAGAAAACCTCTCCTCTCCCCTCAGTATAAAGCAAGAGCCTCATGGAGCCTCTCTCACCCCTTTCACCCCCACCACGCCGGTCGGCTCTGGGCAGGCTGATCTTCAGCCCTTCCACATGGCCCTTTCAGACGATGCGTCCACGCCTTGCTACAGTGCCTTCCTTCATCATGGTGCCCACTTTGGGCAGTCCAGCAGCCAGCCTCTGATAGCAGGTAACTGGCCTTGGCCACAAACTCAGTGGGGATGCTGCAGGCAAGGGGTTCAGTTTCGTCTGATGGGGAGACCAGTAAATGCTGCAAGCTCTTTGAGTGCAAGTGGGAACCAGAGCAACCATGTTCCAGTTCTGTGTATGCAGCATGTGTTCTCAGCTCCATGGAGAGTGACAAAAATGCCTGTCCTTCATTTTTTTAGAACACAATTGGAAAAGAAGCTGTAACTACCTAGAAGTGACTGGGTGTCCCAGTTGAAGGGGTCTGGCACTTAGTATAGAAACACTCGCACAGGAAAATCCTGTGTTGCCTCAATAGGCAGAATGCCCCTGAGTGCTGTAGGCCCAGTGAGGGCACTGTGTGTTAGCCTAAGGTAGATGCTAGCAGCTTGAATAACCTAGCCAGCTCTAGGACTGACAGGGTTGTGTAGCATGGGTTGTACAAACTACTAAGTCAGATACATACATAGGCAGTTGGTGAGCACCGCCATAGCTATGTTGTGAGCAATATTTGAATCACCTGGTTTGGGAGCATCAATGTGAGCTGGTGTGTTCACACAGCAGACCAACTAATTAAGAATCAGAGCATCATGTCTGAATGTCAAGACCAGGAAGGGTGGGTGAGGGACTATAATGTCTCACAGCCAAAGGAATACAGACCTGAGGTAGGTGGCCTTTAAGGGAAGGACGGAAGTGAAGAAATAGATTGCAGAAGATGACAGCACTTAGGAGCAGCAGGCTGGTGAGGAGGATGGGGAGGAAGAACAAGTTTCAGGTAGGTACTAGGGGAAAATCCTGCGCAAGGTAACTGAAGCAACATTGCTGCAGAAGCTCAGGGATGGCTTGGATGAAATAGTGGGTATCATTTTAGGTGACCTCTGAGGTTATTGTCACTCCACTGTCAAAGAATGTAATCTGGGCTTTTTCAGAACAGACAAAGTCTAGTGCAGACCACAGTTCCTAATGCTCCAGAAACACATCTTACCTCTGCCTCCTTCATGTTCCTGTATTATTTTTCTGTTTTGACCTAACATCCTCCCTTTGTCTTGTCAGGTGAGATTTGCATTTCTAAACCTCCCTGTAGGCAAGCAGCAAGTAACAGCAGAGAAGACTTTCTGTTCATAACAGTATCTTGGTCCAACCTCACTGCAGCCAAGGAGAGCCTCTGAGCTCTGGGCAATTCCTAAGCAAAGGCGTCTCCCGACAGACTCTCTCCAACAATATAGTTCTCTGAGGATGCAGCCATATATGACCACCCTCTAGCCTAGAAGGCACTGTGTTTCAGGAGAGGCACCTGCCTTAGGAGCCTTATGGAGAATTAGACATGGGAGAAAGTGTTCAAAAGGTCCAACAATGTCACAGTGATGAAGGTGCTGTTCCTCAGTCAGAAGGCTCTTGGAGAAGGGAGAATGGCTGGAGTTGGAAGCATGCTCTGAGCAGGATAGGTGCCAGCTTTGCCATAGCCCTGGAGTACAAGAATTTAATAATCCTGTCTGACTGTTGGTCATGAGAGGAGGTAACGGAAGGGGCCTGCTTGTATGTAACAGCATTTTAAGAGTCTCTCTGTGGTACTCTTATTCATGCTGCTGATACTGTACTTGTTTGTTATCTTGTGTTTCAAGATTGGGATTTTGATAGATGATCACTTCCCAACAAATTTTCCACACTGAGTTTTGAACATCAGCCTCTGTGCGCTCATGTCTGAATAAAAACACAGAGGCATATATGCATAGATCAAGTAGCAGAGTGTGTGTATGTGTTCCCATTGGAACAGAAGTGTCAAAATGAATTAATTTTGCCTCCTGCTACATAATGTTCTCTCTAACTTTTCAGTGACATTGTTTTCTCACTCATCACCTGTTGTTATTTCTCAGGCTAGTTAATAAATGAAACCAAAACAACATGAATTTTAAGCATAAAACTTTCTTGCTTTAAAAGGATGTGAGAAAAAAAAAGAACTACACCTAGGTGTTAATCATACAGCTTAACACACAGCTACAAATCACTAAAGGAATGATGGTGATAAAAGAGTAGAAGAGTGTAGAATATAAATCCCTAAGGCATTATATATTTATTTTTATCAATATTGGGGAGTGGCTGGAAAATGGCTCTGCTGTTGTCTGGTAGTTCTGTGCCATTATCTAAGAGGAGATAAGCTAGGAACATCAGCCACTGATCAGGAACCTTCAGGGAGAAAGAATGAACTTGCATTTCTTTTTTCTTGAGCAAATCACCTCAGTAATCTTTAGTCAAGACCTATGAAAGCAATGACACTGGTTTAGCCTACCTCATCCCAGAGAAACTTCCTTCCTTCAGGTTAATGCTCCATGTTGATTAGTGTTTACTTTGCTGTGTAACTGTTATTTATTTCTGATTCCCCAGCTAAGGTTTGTGCTTGTCCCAGGGCCTGCTTTATCCATTATCGTTCTGCCACTAGTAGAACTAAACCAACTCTATTCTTCTTTCATTGGCATATCCCAGCATAGTTCCAATGACTCCAGTGGCATTAATGGGCCATACTTAACCTGTCGCTTCTATAGGAGAATGAGACTCCAGCCCTCCAGTTAGAACAGAGACAGGAGGGACAAAATTTAACAAAGGAACAACAAATGGCACAAGCTTCTTGGTGAGCAACAGTTCACCTAGGCCATGTGAAAGGCTTTGGATGCCTGGAACAGGCTGAGATCTCAGCAGGCAGTGTTGGAGGTTGAGCTGTAAATCTCCTAGCAGCTGTGGGGGAAAGATTATCTTAATTTATTTAGCTTTTTTTTTTTTTTTTTGGTTTTGGCTTGAAACTCCCAGCAGCTTCTGAGATAATTTTAGTTCATTTAAATGCAATAAGCACTAACAGCAAATGCCCTTCTGGCTGGCCCATTTTCAGGCTAACCAGTCCAAATGAGGAAATGCCTCTGGCATCAACCAAGAAGCCTCCAGCTGCACTTCCTAAGAGATGAAAAATAAACTACAATCAGCCATCCAGCCCACACCCCTCTCTACTTCTTTGGTGGAGAAAAGATATCACAACTTTAAGTATTACTAACAAAAACTTGTACCTGTGATAAAAATGAAGTGGGACTCAAACTAATTTGCATGATCCTATTATTATATATATATATTACACTAGCACATGGAAGGAGTCCAACCAGTATTGATCTCATGCTAAGCACTGTGCAAATGTACTAAAAGCATGCCCTTGCACCAAAGAGTTTGCAGCATAAAAAGAAGCACAGAGAGGTGAAGTCACCTGCCTAAAATCATCAGCAGGTGAATGGCAGAGGTGGGAAAAGAGACAGGCACAGAAAACTTGGATCATTTTCCAATGCCTTGGACATTGATCATGCCCTAAAGGAAGATCACCACAGTTTTGGAACTGCATCCACTGCATATAGACAGGTTCTCAGCTACTCTGACACTGAATATGCTGCCATTCTCTGTGCAGCTCAGGGCCATTTTTAGTTTGTTAAAATAGATCCAAAATCTACCATAAAACAAGACAAATTCTTTTGAGCTAGGTTTTAACATCCATCCTTACAGTGTGAGATCAAAAGTGCCACAATCTTTCCCCAAAATTTTCAGTGGATGGACAGCATTTACATAAGAGAAGGCTGCACAGCACTTGCCTAGCAAGCTGCTAGTCATGTGACAGTGGGACAAAAGGTGATATCAAATCAATATCGAAAGAGCTTATCCCTGTTGACCACCTGTCCTGATTCTTTCCCTTTCCAGGTCGTGATATGGCAAGCACTACCTTGCCTGGCTACCCACCCCATGTTCCCCCAACTGGACAAGGCAGCTACCCAACCTCAACTCTTGCAGGAATGGTTCCTGGTAAGTCAGCCCCCAGACTTCAGTAATGGTGCACACATGTTTGAACAGTATACTAGCACTGTAAGAACTTTCACAGTTGGCTTTGCTATTGCTTTGCTGATATTAAGGGCTATTCTTTTCATAAAGAAATCATCAAGTGCCTATAACCAGTGTAGCTAACAACCCTTTTTGTAACATATCTCTTTCCCCCTAGTAACTGATTCACCGCCGCTATAGGCAACTAGCTATCTATAACCTGTAGCAATTAATTGGTAATTAATTAACCTTAGTATTCATTAACTAATGTAATTATTTTCCAATGACCCGTGCAGATTATTATGTACTGCTCGTGGCTCAGGATATTCAGCTATCAACTAACTTAGGGTAACAACTTACCTTCTATCTAAAGCCAGGGCATCAAATTGAAAGTCAGCAATGGTAATTTAATACCTGCAGGTTTTGGACATGTACTGTCCATAGCCTAAACTAGCTAAGAACTCAGCAATGATTAACAGCATTTCAGGAGAAACTAACTATTCGCTTTCAATGACCAACCACTTATCCACCTCCTATTTATAAGATAGTGCCACTAATCCAAGAAACTATCTACCTAATCCTACATCCAAAGGTAAACTGTTTCTTTGCTACCCAATGGCTTTGGAGAAATACCTTCTCTTGGTGTATGGATTCTCCCACTGTTTAGGAAGAAGAGAGAACCATTTACCCTAGGGCAACTGAAGAGTTTATTACCCCAGGCTCTATTCCCCACTCCTCTGATGACAGTTATCCCCAGTAGATAAATGAAGAGGCGGGATTTTCGTTTCCTGGTCACGGTAGCTCAGAACTCAGAACATCTTCTGCCACTGATTTCTGTTTATGTTACTGCCCTGCATTGTGAGTCGTGACTGCTAATGAGCAGGTACACAGTCCATTCTGCAACCTCTGCTACTGAAGGGATGACTCCAGAATGGAAGCAGCAGCAATCTGAGGACAGAAAGCTCCTAAATCACTATGATACGATTTGCCAGGGCTTATGAGTGAAAAGCCTAACTTAACCGACATCCAAATCTCAGTACAGTTAGCTAAATGAACATACGCTGCAGCGAGGACAGTGAAAATATCACTGACAAGAAATGTTTGCAGGTCAAAGTCTTAACATCTTTAAATGACAAATCACTGCTTGTATACCATGAAGTACTGGCTAATGCCTATGGTCTCATTCCAGAGCTAACAAGCTACCTTTTGCTTATGATCCTAAGGCACAACAAAATCTCAGGCGATGCTGTGAAGGTGATGTTATTGACCTCCAGATCAGGAAAAGATAGTGGGTTGGTCCCCTCCTTATCCCCATGCTAGTCCCTTGGTATAGTTGACCAGCTTGCTGAACTTTTGGGGTGGTGCAGAATTGGCAGATTTTAGGGCATCTCCTTCTACACTAAATTTTTCAGGGAGATGGTTTGGCTCCAGAATCAGAGAAGCACTAAGACAATATAAATAAATTAAAAACCCACACACAGTAACAGTGGGTAGGCTCAGTTGTCAGTATTTAATCAGCTATACATCAAAACTTATAGAAGGTCATGGCATATAAAAATGATTAATAACATCAAAATAGCTGGCTCTTTGAATAGGCACTTCTAAACAACAGGCTCTTCTCCACTTCTAACTGTTCTCAACTGTTCAGTGACTGCTATGCAAGTTTGATATCCTCATCACAAGGATGATACTGACATCTAAATTGGTAGAAAAATTTTAAGACCACTAATCACAGGGGTCATCCAAGAATAGGGTATTTCAGCTCCTTGATGTGGAGGTTACTTATCCATAAGACAGCAGTGCCCCCAAAACCACACAAATATGTCAAAAAGAAAAGGAATAGGATGATAAAGTTGAGTTATACTTGAAAGAAAACAAGATTATTCTAGTCAAATGGATATCTTTACATTGAGTCTGATGTCAACATTCAATTAGAAGAAGTTTTTCCAGCAGCCTACTTGGGCATCCTGCAGCATCTTTCCACAGAGCATCAAGTTCTGGCTGTTTCAGTTACACCCAGCCTGGCAGCTTTCTATTCCTGTCTTCTAACTGACTGAAACCAACAACCTGGAGATAAAGATGCTTCCTGGGAAGGAACATAAGACTTGGCTTTAATGGGTCACACTGCAGACCTCTGCAGTCACTACTCTCTGTCAGGGGCCAAAAGTGAATGCCTGGGGTAGGGTATAAGAGTAGAGCAAGCATGTATTGGTACTTTCTCAAAAGATCTCCCAGCTTCCAACAAGTTGCAGCTCTGAGACCTCCTAAGCCAGACTTCGTATCTTTCATTTAATATTAAACACCCTCAG